TTTTTGTCAAATAATTGTATTTAATATTCTTCTTTAAATTTTCTTTGTTGTTTTAATATTCATTTATTTAAAGTTACGCTTTTATTCACTACTAGCAGCATGGCCCGGCGTTGCCCGTGCTTGATTCAAAAATCGTACCACTCATACAGCAATCGCTATCATATGACTTAAAATATTTTTGCCCTTCCTTGCCTTTAAAGGAGTGCCCTTTGCAGTGCTGATGTTGCTACATGCCTTACTTCTTGCCTATCTCACACTGCGAATTTTTTCTAAGCTCTATACTAAACATTAAATCTGTGGCACCATGCATCTAGGCAGAGAAAGAAAAGCAAAAAGGGAAAAGGAAAGAAAAGAAGAAAGGAAGGAAAAAGTAATGCGAGACGGATCATAGGCGAACACACACACACGGCTTAAGAGGCAATAAAAAAAGGGTTATTTTGGATAAGTGGCAAATGAAAGGCGTGTCATTACAATGACAATGAGATTGAGTGGGTAGGGAAGTGTTATCTAAACTATTGGTACGAGAAGGCATCTTACTATCAAAAACACAGGCCACCGGCCAAGAGAAAAATTCCAGCGAAAATGTTATTTCGATAAAGTGACGACAAGAAACAGGCGACAAAAAAAAGACTGTTGGACAGATATGAAAATTAAAGGCCACCTGCGAGCAATCATTGACCGACTTTCCTACTGGCCTGCGCGAATGGAATTGTGTTATCAAGAAATGTTCGCCAAAGAAAGTCCACTTGAAAACGTTGGATATTGATAATTGACAAAACACAGGTGGATATGGAAAATTAAAATCCCACCCAAGCCGTTTCGCTAGTTAAGCTCTTTTCGACAAAACAAACTTTTGCCCTGCGATAATAAAATTTTGTTATCAGACACATGAACCGAAGGAAAATGAATGGAATAAGAAATGTTTTTATTTCTGCCTCGGAGACGTCAGACTGACTGAAAACTTGGAGAAAATTCTTTCTGAGACCATGTCGGAAAAACCAGCCGTCTGATGAATTAGCGATAAACTGCTTGACAAACGCCACGTGTTGAACAAAGAGTTGTCATATTATCCGTTCATGATAACGGAGATTTAATTATTTTTTTTAGTTAAGCAAGGTATTTCTTTTCCAAAACAAAGCCGCGGGTTGTTCACGCCCGACTAAGACGTCATTGGTCAAGTGGTGATCACATGACGCACGAAGGAGGAGGAAAGATACCCGACCAAGACCGCATTGGCCGGGAGTGATCACGTGACGCACGAAGAAGACTGTCGACGCCCCCACCCAGAGTATAAGTATTAGAAGCCGCTACGAAGAAGTGGGGAGGGCAGTTCACGCCCCTCAGAAGCATGGTGAGAAAGTGGGAGTGAAAAAAAAAGTTACCAAAAATGGAAAAGAGTGGAAAATCCCTAACCAGAAATAAAAGAGGTGGATATGTATTTAGAATTATCGAGGAACTCCCCGACGCCAACAGACCCAACCCGGTTTTTGACGGCGTCAATAAAAACGAGGCCCCAACAAGAAGAAATCAGTTCAGTCCCGGACGGCAGAGATGAGTGCCCAGTTCGTTCGGACCCTGGCGGGCAGAAGTTAGTTCAGTCCCGGACGGCAGAGATGAGTGCCCAGTAGTTCGGACCCTGGCGGGCAGAAGAGAGTTCGTTCGGACCCTGACGGGCAGAAGACAGTTCGTTCGGCCCTGGCGGCAGAGATGATAGACCAAGATAGCTGACCAAGATTCACGCAAAATTTTGGACTCCTCTTCAACCAAGAACAATTATTTTGAAGAGAGACTTGGAACCAGACCACAGAAATAAGTTTTTCGACTTTCGTCCAAAGACACACCGAAACACAAATTTCTTGGAGAGCAGACAACTTGAAGCGTTAAAACTTACCTAGCGAAAGCGACGTGTCACAATCCACAGAACGGGTCGGGAGATAGATGCAGTCCTATGTATCGAACAACTAGACATAAAGTTTGTTACCTTTTACTTTGATACTTTGAACTTTTGAGTTTTCATTTTATTTTCTTTTATGCATATTTGTGTGTTATCACCCCGTTGAACTCAATTTGCATTACGGCCCCAACCCCTGTTTGATCTCGTCTGTCTAAGATCAATTCACAACGTGGGTAGGCAGACTGGAGATAAGTGCAGTTACCTTGGTAACCAGGCGTTGGAAGCGAGTTGGGAACGGCGAGGCTGATGTCAAATCTAACCAGATTCCTACCCGAATCACCAAAAGGTTAGAACGTCACATTTGGGTGCCGCGACCGATACCAAGCCAGTTGGTCGTCACAGGACGAGACAACACGACTGACGCGACAGGCGAAAGTCACGTTTGGAGCAGCGACACCCGGACGGAGCAGCGAGGAGCGAACAGCTGGCGCCGCGGCGAAGACGTCAAAATTGGTGCTGTTTAGGGACGTCACAACTGGTGTCGTGACTGGGATAGGACCCTGGAACGGCCACGTCACAACTGGCGCCGTGGTAGATCAGGATAGAACGTCACAGTTGGCGCTGCGACCGGGGGACGACGTCACAATCTGTTACGAAAAAAGGACTAAACAAAATAAACACAAAACGATCAGCTTTAAAAAAGGACTCGTAACTGGAAAAACCGAATGAAAAAAGAATGTTAACAACAAATACCTTTTCACACCAGCCCAGTTCTGCGGAATCAGAATCAACGTTGAGTTTAAGCAAGCGAATGAGCCAATTGGAGTAAAGTGCCATGCAGATTTAAATTTTTCCCACTTGTGACGAATGCAGTTATCGATTTTTTTTAATGCTAGTTAACATTCATGTCAGTCAGCTATTGGCTCTCACGCTGGCCAATAGAATCTTCCTGCCTATTCGTGGAAGCCAGCTATAGGCTCTCACTCTGGCCAGTAGAAACTGGCCGCAAACTACATGGAAACTGCCGTAGAAGCATGAAAAAATCGATTATTTCCACTCTCGATGGGAGTTGGGAAATGCAACGTCGGTCTTGGCCTTCCCGCTAACTTGGAGCATGTGCATGTAAATTTTGGTGCAAATCCGTCGAAAATTGCGGCCGTGCATTCGTTACGCACACACACACACACATACTGCCTTTTATAGATAGAGATAGATGTGAAAATATATTCAAGAGAATAGAAATTGTCAAAATACATACTTGAGTTTAGTAGAATGAAAAGTAAAAACGAATGAAAATCCAATTCGAGTATAAGAATTTTTACCGTTCGTTTTTACTTTTTAATTCTGAGAATTTCGAATGCATTCTAATTCATTTTAATTTAAAAATATCTTCGTAAATACAAATCATACGATCATAATTTTTTACAAAAAGCTCGCTTGGGTGACAATGACTCTATATACATATTTACTTTGTCATAAATAATGAGGTGTTTTTTTTTAGTTTTAGTCGGACACACACACATACACACAGAGACACAAACAGAAAACTGCCCTTTATAGTTGTATAGATAGATTTTCAATGTATAAATCATTATTAGTTATTTTCGATGTATAAAGTGCTTTTTAACCAGATTATCATGCGGTCTTTCACATTCCACCCTGTGTTGACTTTTTATTTTGTCGGATATTTTTCGTGTTTATACTTATCCGGTGAAGTGAAAAAAAATCAGTTATTTAGCAAGCAGCCGACAACATTTCTTCCAATTGGAACGTCAAACAATAAATAGAGACAGGAAAAATGTGGAGCAGACAAATCCCTTAAGAAAACATTCCTTGGCCAATATACACACAACAAAGTGTCGTTGTTTCTTATAAAAACCAGTTAAAAAAAACGTGACAAGAACAAATAATGAACAGATAACGATTTTGTTTTGGTTAAAAAGAGCCAATAAAACTTGAAGTGGTACATTATTTTTTTTATCAGGAGAAAGAAAACTGATGGCAAGGTTTTTAGAAGTTTTTGGACCAACAATTGAATGGAGATTTTTAGACTCTGTCCGAACATGAAGATAATATGGAGTCATAATATACAAGGGGTTATTTTGTTGTTTTCTTTCAATCAGTTCATATCTATCTATCTATCTATCTATCTATCTATCTATCTATCTATCTAAGTTTATTCCTATATATATATATATATATATATATATATATATATATATATTCACATCAATCTATCTGTCTGTAGATCTATCTCAAATTTTTCTTACCTGTCTATCTTTGTATCTCTCTATCTATCACTCTCTGTTCATTATCTATCTATCTGTCTATCTATCTATCTATCTATCTATCTCAATATGTTCACATCTATTTCAGTTTTTGTTCATATTTATGTATCTCAGTCTCTTCATATCTATCTATCTATCTATCTATCTATCTATCTATCTATCTATCTATCTATCTATCTATATATATATATATTAGGTTAGGGGCAAAAATAATGACATAATAATGTCGTTTTTGACGTATTTTTTAACGTCAAAAACGACATTATTACGTCATTATTTTTGCACCAACCTAATATCTCAGTCTCTTCATATCTATCTTTCTATCTCTCGATCTCATTCTATTCATATCTATCTATCTATCTATCTATCTATCTATCTATCTATCTATCTATCTATCTAAGTTTATTCCTATATATATATATATATATATATATATATATATATCTATCAATGTATTCAAATGAATCTATCTGTCTGTAGATCTATCTATCTATCTATCTATCTATCTATCTATCTATCTATCTATCTATCTATCTCATTCTGTTCATATCTATCTTTCTATCTCTCGATCTCATTCTGTTTTTATCTATCTATCTATCTATCTATCTATCTATCTATCTATCTATCTATCTATCTATCTATCTATCTCAATATGTTCACATCTATTTCAGTTTTTGTTCATATTTATGTATCTCCGTCTCTTCATATCTATCTATCTATCTATCTATCTCAGTCTCTTCATATTTATCTTTCTATATCTCGATCTCATTCATATCTATCTATCTGCCGCATCCCTCTGTTTGTCAACCGGAAGTTGATTAGCTCCCTTGTTCCACAATGTATTTGTTACGTCACTTTGTAGCGGCCCATAGAGGGGGACCCATGTATATAAAATATGAAAGACAATACAGACACAAATAATTGTGTTACAACACATTCAGAGTTCTTAATTAAAGCTCCTAATTTGTTTGATTTCGGTTTCCCTACTTTGTTTGAGTCAATTCTCATTTTGGATAGTCACATAGAAAAGTGAAATGCCACACCATGACGCCGGGTGACTGCACAATGGTGGAGATATTAGAAGTGTTCCTACTAGATAGACATATATATACAACTAGCCAAGGCACCCGGCATTGACCGGGTGTACATGGCTGCAATTGTATAACCGCAAGCCCTGCTTACCCGCATCCCCTGTCTAGAACTGTCTGCTTGCGTCCAGGCTTGCATGCATCATCCTTTGGTATACTAAGCTACTCCCCTTCAACCTTTTTTGCGGTATGTCCTTCCCAAGTGTTTGATTGTTCTTAATAAAGGAATTCCATCGATAAATCTTCTTGTGTGGTCGTTGCTCGGGGTTAAATTGTTTCAATATTTTAGATATTCAGTAAATTTCCTACGACCTTAATAACTTTCAAATAGTATGGCATTGTTCACGAATCTAATAATGAAACAAAAACAGGGATGAAGCTTCATTCAACTGCAAGTGCAAACACATGAACGCTCCCCCTCCTTCTTCGCATGTTTACTGTAAAACTGCGGTTAATAAGAGGTTCTTCGGGAATTTTTCCCTGTAAATGCTTCAGAAAAACTTCTCGAACAATCTTTGCATCAAAGGTTGGTCGAATGCCAATTTAGGATGGAATCATATGATGAAACTATTCGCAAAAATGGCAAAGGCCGATTTTGGACCTAGTTTGTCGTAGATTTCGTCCACAACTTAAATAATCTAAACCAAACATTCATGCAAGACAGTTGTGTAATTTACATGGCATATTTGGAAAGCATCGAATGAAAAACCAGAGAATTATGGCCGAAAAACGGGCTTTTTTAACAGATTTTCGTGTTTTTTCGTTATACGCGGGGAAGCGATCAGGACTAAAACCACGCCATCTTATTTTTGCATAAAAATGAGGAAGTTATTCAAGTTTTTATTTTACGTAGTACGAAAAACCCGATTTTTTTCGGTTTTTGCAATTTTTTGTGTGAAGCTAATGTAGGAAAACTATCCAGCCCTCTGCATAAACCTCGTAACGTGAGCTATGGTTTGTGTTAAGTGCAAAGAACATCAGCTCATCCAGTAAAAATTTTGTTCGCGTATAACTTTGCCTTGCTTTTTGCAAAAAGTCGTATCCACCTTCAATTTTATTGATTTTTCTGTCAAACCACGAGGATATAGCGATTGAAAAATTGATTTTGACCTAACTAAGTAAATTTGCAACATGTGTGTACAATTTCATCGAAATCGGTCGAGAAATGTGGACGTGCATAAATAGCATACATACACACAGACACAGACACACAGATAGACACACTCACACAGACATCTTCTGTTTTATAGATATAGTTTATCAACAATACATTTTATCTGTCGTTGAAGGCATACAACTCCGTTCAAAATATTTAGATTTCGGTATTAAAGAACCCATAGCGGTTGACATGTCGCTAAACAAAATCAACCAAACAACCAACTTAAAAGAACTCTTTCAAGACATTAGTCTATATAACATCCTACCATTTCTTAAATCAAACTCTATTCCAAAATACAACTTCAATAAAACAATATAAAGCACACATATCTCTGCCTCTAGTAATTATGTCTACACAAACCTGTATATACGCAAAAGCTGAGTATCATCTACATGGTAGATATGATATATACATGGTAGATATGATATATACATAGTAGATTCTACCGTGTATATATAATATTTTCATTACTTCAAAGCGCCCAAGAAAATTAAAAATTTCGGCATTAAATGGCCCATGAGACGTTGACATGAACAAACAAATCAAAGTATGTAAGATAACTGCTTGGGTGAATGATTTTTGTCGATTATAGCAGCCAAACCTAGCTGGTCGATGAGAAAAAGCGTTCAATTAGAATGGAGCAAAAACAGCATCATGTTTAGATGTAAGGGAGCATATCTCTTTCAATTACTTTAAAGTACTTTCATTAAAAATACATTTTCAATTAATGCAGTTACTGATATAACAGAAGTAGCCTGTATTTATTCAATTGAAGTTAGCTAAGGACATGAAGGGGTAAAACAGGCAACATGAAGATCCACTTCAGACCACAATTATCTTGAAGTTTTTGAAATTTAATTTGTCAGTGTGCTACCAGGGATGTAAAAGAGGATACATTTATAAAGCAATTGTTAATTTCAACGAAAAATAAGAAAGAAACTAGTAAAAATCTCCATTTTCGCTATTTACGCAGGTTTTCACTATATGGGTGGACTCAATTGCCAAGTTAAATGACTGTTAAACAATAAACTTATTGCTGGGTACAAATGAGAGAAGTTTGTATTAGATTGCTTGAAAATTGAGGGAGTTTGTGGTTTAAAATTTGTGTTGAAATCGATTCTTCGTTTTTCGTGGTTTTTCGCTAAATGCAGTGGCGTAGAAATAAAAATGAGGTATCGTTGAATTTGTCATGATGTAAGTAACCTACATACCGAGTTTGAACGAAATCAGAAGAAAAAAGATGAATTTATCGATTTTGAACGGCTTTATCGGTTATTGAATTTTTAAGTTATCGATTGTGCTTTTATTTAGTTTTTTTATACAATTTCTCATGCGATGTCATATTTTTTTTTCTTTTCAGATGATAAATTATATAAAACTGTCCGAATGTTCTTTTTATCCCAGCGCATTCGGCTATACATTTAGCCATTTTCAAGGATTAAATATTTTAACTGTTAAATAAGAAATAGTTTGTTGCATGGATGTTTTATAAAATGTTTTAATTTTTCAAAACACGGTCAAGATATTGTGTCCATGCTCATAGTTGATATTATTAAGTGTTGTTTTTTTATATTAATAAGGCTTCCATTATTTTTTATAAAAATGTGCATGAAAGAAGGATTGCTGCTAAATACACAAATACACACACACACACATGCACACACACACACACACACACACACACACACACACATATATATATATATATATATATATATATGAACTCTTGAATATCAGTTATGCATTTATGTCATTTTATAAACCATGATATTTGCATTTAAAATGTGTCCCATGATACATACTTATATATATATATATATATATATATATATATATATAGTTGAATGGTTTGTGACCGTCTGTTTCACGCTTATGCGATCCTCAGAAAAACTGATTTATTTTTTAAAATTCGATACTATTTATGTCAGTTTTTGTTTGATTATGTTTGGTGCTGATGTGGGGGAGGAGGAATCTCCTCCGTGTCCGTCTTGGCATGAGAGCTGATACGCACGGAGACATACATATGTTAACTCAGTCACTGATATTGAGCACTTTCCAATAAGCACCGCACATATTTAAATGTATATAGAATTTATATATATATATATATATATATATATATATATATATATATATTATTTATTTAAAAATATGATTCCAAATCGCTACATAAGAGGTCTCATGTTTCAAAACAAGAGCCAAAAACTTCAATATAATCCTTTAAATTAAATTGAGTTGAAAGTAAACAAAATTTCGCTTGAAGATGGAACGGAGCCCATTTTACTTTCAACTCAATTTAATTTAAATGATTATATTGAAGTTTTCGGCTCTTGTTTTGAAACATGAGACCTCTTATGTAGCGATTTGGAATCATATTTTTAAATAAATAATTATATTTATGCTCTACTTTTGTATCGAGCACTATTTTTTAAAAATAATAACTAAAATACTAAGGGACTCTGGATTATTTACCTAACCAGTTCCTTCCTATTTTCTATATATTTTCACACACACACACATATATATATATATATGTATGTATGTATGTATGTATGTAACACAAAATATGTTAAAAGTCCGGAAAAACTACCCTAAAAAACGGACGTATAATAGAGTGCTCAAACAGACATGCAGAGGATACCCGTGCAATAAAAAGAGGTAAAAACACCGTATATTACCGCACACTACCCTGGTTTCGACCGCTACGTCTCTTCAGGTGGCTGGGTAAACTTCTTGATACTTTGCCCAGCTTTTGGTTATCCAGCCACCTGAAGAGAGCTAGCGGTTGAAACCAGGGTAGTGTGCGGTAATATGCGACGTTTTTACCTCTTTTTATATATATATATATATATATATATATATATATATATATATATATATATATAGATAGATAGAGAGAGAGAGAGAGAGAGAGAGAGAGAGAGAGAAACAATACCATCAAATAGAATGGCACCGATCGACCTGTGAAACAAAAAGAATAATTTTATATGGTTGGATTTGATCTGCCAACCATGAATATCCGTTGTTGAAATAGAGCAGGTTTTCGGTGGTAAAAGCGATAGATGTTCGTGCCCTGCCAAGAGTTTATACTTTTTTTCGACTCGTGCTGCTTGTGAATGCCTATAGATTGACGGCGGTGGCAGTTGCGATGAAAAAGCAACTGAAATTAAGATGGTAAAAAAATACTCGTCAAAAATTCATAACATTTGACAATGCTTCATCTAGTCTTTAAATTAAAATTAAATGAATGAAATAAAAATAAATCTTCAATTTTAAATAAAAATTAAAGCGAAGCGAGACATATTTTTAACGAAGTGTTAAAAAAAGCAAATATACAAAAAAAAAAAAAAAAAAGCCCAAAATATCCAGGGCACCAGAATTTGGTACCTTACAAATAGCACATTTATAATTTCACTGTAATGTTCTTTCAAAGTCGGGATTTTTCAGTGCATAACCCCGATTTTAAATAAGGTACACCCGTTCCACCCCACATTCTCTAGCCGAAATGATGTATTCTGACCTAGATTTCTACGGGTTTGCCAATTAGTTTTGTTCTAGAACAGTATTTTAT